TTTTTGGTGTGTTGCAATGCTCCGGTGGGATTCCTTCCCAGGTAATCCTCAGAGCTCAAGACACTCTTCTGTTCTTAAGATGAAAAGCACATGTCTGCATTTTAGATGGATTAGGAATCAGCTGGTTTTCCTTGTAATAGGCAGTAAGAGCACCTAAAGCTTCGGAGAGCTTCTGTTCAACCATTTCAAAGCTCCCTGCTTGAGCAGTGATAGCACGATCGTCAGCATAGATTAAACTCTCTGTCCCCTATGGCAATGACTGATCATTTGTGTAAATGTTAAAACATTGATGGAGCAAGCATGCTCCCCTGACACAGGCCATTCTTCTGTTTTCGCCATCTGCTTCTCTGACCCTGGAAGTCAACCAAAAAGCTCCTGTTTTGTAGCAGATTTCCAATGAAGCTGGTGAGGTGGCAATCCTTTGTGATCTTATACATTTTTTTTTTCAGGAGGAGGCAAGGATTTACAGTATCATAAGCTGCTGATAGGTCTATGATGAAAGCTCCTGTAATCTGCTGTCTTTCAAAACTATCTTCTATGTGCTGAGTCAGGTTCAGCACTTGTGATGTGCAGTTTTTCCCTTTCCTAAAACCAGCTTGCTGTGGAATCATACATGGCTCTATTTTCGCCATAATTCTGTGCAGGATAAGTCTCTCCAGAGCTTTATACAAATGGCACAACAAGGAGATTGGTCTATAGCTTTTTGGATCATTACAATCTTTGCCTGGTTTCAAAATGGCTATGACTCTTGCTTTACTCCAGATTTTAGGGATCTTTCAGGATGCAATGCAGTTGTTCACCAGCTTCAGCAGCCAGCACCTTGTTTTTGGACCAAAGTTCTTAATTTGTTCCATCCGTAGATCATCCAGGCCAGTTGCTTTGCCATTTTTACATTTATTAAGAGCCACTTCCAATTTGGTAGATGTAAAATGTTATTAAGGTTGTTCTCATTATCTGGTCGTCTGACTATTGGTTTTCTTCCTATTTTGGTTGCAAGGTTGGGTTTCCCATTGTTCAGAAGTTGATGTGCTATCTGAGCTGCCTTTATGTTGGCGTGGGTATTAGTTTGTGATGGATCGTTGCTCAATCGTTTTAACAGCCTTCACACCTTCTGACAACTCCTGCCCTTATCAACTTGGAAATGATCCCTGGTAATGTCATGAAGTGTTATGCCTTAAGTACCAACCAGAGTTACTCACAGCTTTTCATTCAAACACACACATAAGCAAAACATATTTTTGTATTTGGAAATCATGCCATAAGTCTTAACAAAAGAGACTGTTCCAAGAACAAAGTGACATGAAAGGATTATTCCTTCTCACTTACTGAGTGAGATGGGTTAAGGAACATTTTGCGAAGCCTTCTTGTTTCTGGGTTGTTGTAGGTTTTTTCGGGCTATATGGCCATGTTCTAGAGGCATTCTCTCCTGAAGTTTCACCTGTATCTATGGCAAGCATCCTCAGAGGTAGTGAGGTCTGTTGGAACTAGGAAAAAGGGTTTATATATCTGTGGAATGACCAGGGTGAGACAAAGGACTCTTGTCTGCTGGAGCTAGGTGTGACTGTTTCAACTGACCACCTTGATTAGCATATAATGGCCTGACAGTGCCTGGAGCAAACTTTTGTTGAGAGGTGATTAGATGTCCTTGTTTGTTTCCTCTCTGTTGTTGTGCTGTTGTAATTTTAGAGTTTTTTAAATACTGGTAGCCAGATTTTGTTCATTTTCATTCATTTTAGTTCATTACTGACCTCACTACCTCTGAGAATGCTTGCCATAGATGCAGGCGAAACATCAGGAGAGAATGCCTCTAGACCATGGCCATATAGCCCGAAAAAACCTACAACAACCCAGTGATTCTGGCCATGAAAGCCTTCAACAATACTTCTTGTTTCTATCCAGAAGGTGGATGTAAACCAGAATATGATAATGAATTGGGAGGGAAGGAGGAAAATAACTAAATAAATACAAAGATTCCCCAGACAGTCTTTGCAAGTTATAGATCAAATTGCTTGCATTATCACAGGGGCCCTTCACCCCCAACTGTCATGGAAGTGGAAGGCTTGCTGTATTTGATTGATACAGGTCTTTGGACTTGTCATGGTCCTGACAACATACACATTGAGCTTGATATAGAACACTGGAAAATATAATGTATCCACATTTTGATTGCAAATATTTACAGAAAGCTCAGATGGATTGTTATACTAAGCCATCCAGAACAGGATTTTTTTTCCTGCAACTCGTGGCACTTCCATTACATTTTTGCTACTTAATGAGGTATTGGAGAAGCCAGAAACTAATGTTTTATAAGAATAGATAGGACATCCCCAAAACAAAAGGACATGGGATAACCTTGTAGTTTTTTAATCTAATGGTCTATCTGGAGGAGAAAAGTTAAAACTGAAGGGGTTGTTTTCCTGAAAGGGATTTACACTAGTGAGCTAAAGCTACTGCAGAAATGATGGAGACTATGCTATTGGAAAGTGAGATTAACAGGAAGACACTGGTTTTTATACATTTTAATGGTGTTGTATGGATTTTATAATGTTGTTTTATTGTTTTAATTCTATACTATGGACTGTTATGGCATCAAATTGCTGCCAATTTGTAAGCCGCCTTGAGTCTCCTTCGAGCTGAGAAAGGTGGGATACAAAGATAATAAATAAAGAAAGAAAGAACGAAAGAAATAAATAAATAAATAGTGATGTGGTGGAAAATTAAGTAAACATGTCAGTCACAGGACTCAGAGGTCCACCTAATCCAACTACCTGTCAGAACAGGCATTCAGTTTCAAAGAACCTCTGAGGCGTGGCCACCCTACCTCTGTTTTAATTCTCCTAATGAAGAAGAATTCATTACCCTACAAGATAGTCTGTCCCACTGAATACAAGAAGAACTTGGAAAGGGATCTTTTGGGCTCCAACTCGGAACCTCCCTCTTGCTGATTGGAGGAATAAGGAAGTTGTAATCCAAAAGGGTTTTCAAGCCCCACTTCTACCTGGAGTTCCCATTCTTTCCCACTCGTTCCTTTTAAAATCATTTATTGTAGAGAGAATGGGCTTAGACAAGTAATCCCCAAGAAACTGTGTCCTATCTGTGTCATAGTTACAAAATCAATACATTTGAGGTACTTTTATACACAGACTGGCATCCCATTACTGACACACACAAACATTAATAGCTTTGTTGTGATCATACGGTCATCACAACCTCACTTGGTGAGGCCAGGAGAAAGAGCCTTCTCAGTGGTTGCTCCTCTCAGAGAAGGCTGAGAGGAGATATGATAGCCATGTATAAATATGTGAGAGGAAGTCACAGGGAGGAGGGAGCAAGCTTGTTTTCTGCTTCCCTGGAGACTAGGACAATGGCTCCAAGCTACAAGAAAAGAGATTCCATCTGAACATGAGGAAGAACTTCCTGACTGTGAGAGCTGTTCAGCAGTGGAACTCTCTGCCCCAGAGGGTGGTGGAGGCTCCTTCTTTGGAAGCTTTTAAACAGAGGCTGGATGGTCATCTGTCAGGGGTGCTTTGAATGCAATATTCCTGCTTCTAGGCAGGGGGTTGGACTGGATGGCCCATGAGGTCTCTTCCGACTCTATGATTCTACCTTTTGAGTGGATTTCTATGAGAAGCTCTGGCTGCTCCCCTCCCTGCTTTCCTTTCATTGACAGGCTAATATCGTTTTCTTTAAGACAGATATTCCTAAATTGCCCCTTTCCCTATACTGTGCTGCATTTCCCCTACTGCATCAATTCCTCCATTGTTCCCAAATGAAGCCTCATTTATCTTTTGGGAGAAGAGCTAACAAAGGTGTGGAGGTGTTCTGATTTTTCTTTGTCCTCTGCTGGCATTTTGCAACCACCTGTACACAGCAGCCCTACAATTACTGTGGACGCAACAATTTTGGGAGTTGTTGTTCACCCACATCCTTATGCATTTCCTAATGGGAACATTAATTAAAAAAGAAAACAAAAGGAAAGACTGACTTTTTTCTAATAAATAGTGTTACAAATCATCTAAGCTGCTGCTCTCCTCCTCCTGATGGTGCTGGGCCACTCTCAGTCCCACGTCATGCAGGTGCTTTTACCCCTGCCTTGAAGGGACTCGTTGGCACAAGCCTCCCTCCACCCTTGCGTGCTCTCCCTCACTCGAGCATGCAGGGGTGACTCAACCATTACGCAAAGTAAGCATTTGCAGTATAGTTGATTTTGCCCAGGAGTGCTCTTGAGATGCTCTTGGGGGAAAACAGACCTTGACATATGCGAGTTGTAGTTACTGGGATGTATAGTTCACCTACAATCAAAGAGCATTCAGAACTCCACCAATGATGGAATTGAGCCAAATATGGCACACAGAACTCCCACGACAAACAGAAAATATGTATCAGTGATTGGTTTGGGGGGGGGGGGGCAAAATACTGTTTGCTTACCGTTGAAAATTACCTAGGGCCGCCTCTGCGTACATGTGCACCATTCTGCCATGTGTCGAGCATACCTGCTCTCCCCTCCCCTCCCCTCTGGGAGTCTCAGAAAAAGCCCTCCCCCTTGGCTGAGAGGCTAGCTGAGAAGCCAGCCAATCATAGCAGTAGGAGGGCTGTTGTTGGGAGCGAATGCGTTGGATTGGTTTGAATGATGGGCCAGAACTGATGAAGAAGGTGCTCTAGTATGGAAAACACACCCTCTCAGCCTCAGAAGAAAACCCTTGGAGGGGATCCCAATTCCCATTGGGCAGGTCACACTCTCAGGCTCAGAGGAAGGGGGGAAATGAACCTCTGCATGCATCTTGCCAGTGAAACTCCTAGACAGGGTCTGCACAACTCAGGCACGACCTGGAGGCACACAAAAGCAATCCAAGCTATGCCTGATGCAGCAGGTGCATACCCGGGGAGCCTGGGGCTGGGTGGGGAAGGGGCGTGGCTTGGAGGAGCGCTCCCTCTGCTTCGCCCCGCCCCTCAGGTGGGCAGAGGTGAGATCTAGACCTGGTCCCTTTTATTCCGGGCGGCGCGCCAGTGGTGGCTCAGGAGGGAGGGCGGCAGGTGCCTCCGCGATGGGGAACCGGGTCACCCGCAGCGACTTCGAGTGGGTCTACACCGACCAGCCCCACACCCAGCGCAGGAAGGAGATCCTAGGTAGGCTCACCCAAGACGGAGATGAAGTGGGGCTTCTATTCGCTTCTCCACACGAAAAGCAACTTAGCAGGCTCTCCTCTTCTCCTCCAGGACTTTCCCTTTAGCAGGCATGGGCTAACTTCAGCCCTCCAGGTGTTTTGGACTTCAACTCCCACCATTCCTAACAACCAGTTAGGAGTTGTGGGAGTTGAGGTCCAAAACACCTGGAGGGCCCAAGTTGGCCCATGAATGTTGGAGATGCACCTCTAGAGCCCTGAAAGTAGTAGCTTGCACGGAAACAACTCAGTGGAGGTGAGGGCAAGATTGGCAAGAAGGCTTACCCTTGCCTTACTTACTAACTTACTGAAGCAATCCCTTGTTGTCCGAGTAGGATTGTCTTCCAAGGTCAGTGTTCTGGTGAGTCAGTAGGTGACTGTGGAGTCCTATTCTTGATCTGCATCTTCTCCCACAGTGAGGGCATTGGTTTCCAGGTGGAAGGCAGTCCCTGTCAGGGTTGGCTTGAGGTGCCTTCCTTCTATCTTCTTCTCTCCATTCGTGCCTCTTCAAATTCTACAGCACTGCTGGTCACAGCTGACCTCCAGCTAGAGTGCTCAAGGGCCAGGGCTTCCCAGTTCTCTGTGTTTATGCCAGTGTTTTTAAGGTTGGCTTTGAGCCCATCTTTAAATCTCTTTTCCTGTCCACCAACATTCCGTTTTCCGTTCTTGAGTTCGGAGTAGAGCAACTGCTTTAGGAGACAATGGTCAGGCATTCGGACAACGTGGCCGGTCCAGCAAAGTTGATGGCGGAGGACCATCTCTTCGATTCTGGTGGTTTTTGCTTCTTCCAGCACACTGACGTTTGTCTGCTTGTCTTCCCAAGAGATTTGCAAGATTTTTTGGAGGCAACGCTGATGGAATTGTTCTAGGAGTTGCATGTGATGTCTGTAGATAGTCCATGTCTCACAGGCATATAGCAGGGTTGGGAGGACAATGGCTTTATAAACAAGCCCCTTGGTATCCCTATGGATGTCCCGGTCCTCAAACACTCTCTGCTTCATTCGGAAAAATGCTGCGCTCGCAGAGCTCAGGCGGTGTTGTATTTCGGTGTCAATGTTACCGCTTTGAGTTGCCTGAGGGCTGAGAAAAGTGGTATAGAAATAAAGTAAATAAATAATAAATAAATGTTGACTTTTGTGGAGAGGTGGCTGCCAAGATAGCGGAAATGGTCAACATTTTTTATGTTACACCATTAAGCTGTATGTCTGGCATTGCCCTTGCCAATAGGGGATCATCTGAACCACACTCTGATGTCTCTTGGGGTTGATCTACACTGACAGATAATCTGGGATTGATCTAGCTTGTCGTACACTGGCTCAGTCCCAGTATAAGTCACATGGGGACTCTCCCATCCGCTGTGGTTCGTCACCACTGAATGGTCACCTTAACCATCTCCTCCTGCCTTCCTTGTGGTGGTGTGGGTCATAGCATGGGCCATGACATGGGTCCTGACTGTCCGTAATTGCTATAGTATATGCTGACTTTTTGCCTACCTTTCCCAAGCACAAAAGGCTTGGGAAAAAAGGTTTTCAAACCTTTTAATTGAGGTTCCTCAAACTGTTGGGGGCCCCTGAACTATAGTTTGGGGAAAAAACCGAACTGATTCCTATACACACTACACATATCTTATCTATAATGCAAACAAAAAAAAATCAATGCAAGACAAAACAATATTTAAAATGAAGAACAATTTTCACGAACATAAACTTACCCATCTTTCAATGGGATGTGTGGGCTTACTTTTGGATTATGAAATAGTCAAGTTAATTAGGATTGTTGTTGTGTGCCTTCAAGTAATTTCAGACTTAGGGCAAAGTATAAAGTTTAGGGCAGGGTCCAGATAAATGACCATGGAGGGCCGCATCAGCCCACGGGCCCTAGGTTGAGGACCCTTGCATTAGATCATGAGATGTAAGCCTTACATAGACAAGAAATGGATAATAGCCAGATTGATTGCCAGTTGCCAATTGATTGCTAAGCGATGTCGTGGATCTTTTTTTCCATGGCTATAGTCATATTTTACTGATTTTATTTAATAGAGGTTGCTTTTGTTAATTTTATATGTCTAAGTAAAGGTATTCCCCTGACATCAGGTCCGGTCGTGTCCAACTCTGGGGGTTGATGCTCATCTCCATTTCTAAGCCGAAGAGTGTGTTGCAGTAATCTATTCGGGATGTGACCAGAGCGTGGACCACAGTGGCCAGGTACCTATTGATCTACTCACATTTGCATGTTTTCGAACTGCTAGGTTGGCAGAAGCTGGGGCTAACTATGGGAACTCACCCCACTCCCCGGATTCAAACCTGTGACCTTTCGGTTAGCAAGTTTAGCAGCTCACCGGTTGAACCCACTGCACTACCGGGGGCTCCTTCTGGTTTTATGTAAATGTGTTATTGATTTTATATGTTGATGTATTGCATTTTATGTGTTCTTTGGCACCATTGGGTGCTATTTTGTAAGCTGCATCGGGTCTCTATGGGAAATGGTGATGGGGTATAAATAAAGTTTTGTTGTTGTGCTGAAAACCAGTGTTTCCTCAGGTTATCCATGAATGCTGTCTCATGCCTCACCTTCAGCACCATCCCTCTAGAGCAGTGGTTCTCAACCTGTGGGTCCCCAGGTGTTTTGGCCTACAACTCCCAGAAATCCCATCCAGTTTACCAGCTGTTAGGATTTCTGGGAGTTGAAGGCCAAAACATCTGGGGACCCACAGGTTGAGAACCACTGCTCTAGAGCCCCTGGTGGCACAATGGGTTAAACTAGGCATGGGCAAACTTTCCAACTTGGGGGCCGCATGGTGGTCTAGGGCTGGTTAGGAGGGGGTTCTCCCCAAGCCCCCTCCCTGCCTTTTCCTCCCCTTTTTCAGAGGCAGAAAATGAAGGAAAGTCAGGAAAAGTTTATATCTCAAAAGGGCTGGTCTTGGTCAGGATGAGATGGTGGATGGGACAAAAAGAGTGCATCTATGAGACCTTGCATTGCCTACTCCTGATATCGAATCCTAGAATCCTAGAGTTGGAAGAGACCCCCAAGGGCCTCAGTCCAACCCCTTGCCATGCAAGAAGGCACAATCAAAGCATTCCCGATAGATAGCCTCAGAAAAGACTGCAGAAGAGACTCCACCACACTCTCAGGCAGCCTATGCCACTCTCTGACAGCTCATACTCTCAGGAAGTTCTTCCTAATCTTTTCAGTCGAATCTCTTTCCTTGCCATTTGGAACCATTACTCCTTTGTACCCTGGTCTCTAGAGCAGCAGGAAGTCAGTTTTGCCCCTCCTTCCTCCTCAATGGGACACCCTTTCAAATCTGGAAACATGGTTCTCACGTTCCCTCTCCACCTTCTCTTCTCCCAGGTAAACATCCTCCAGGAGGAAAGAAGGAAGGAAGGAAAAGAAGGGTGGGTGGCCTGGGAAGGGAATGGAAGGAGGGAAGGGAGGGAGGGAGGAAAGAAAGACAGAAGGAAAGACAAAAAGGAAGGAAGGAAAAAGAGAGAGGGTGAAGGAAGGAGAAAGAGGGAGGTAAGGAAGGAAAGGGAGGAGGAAGGAAGGATAATATGTTCAGAGAGAGGAGGGCCTGATAAAAGAGCCCAAGGGGCTGCATCTGGCCCCTGGGCCTGGGTTTGCCCATACTTGAGTTAAACCCTTGTGCCTGCAGGATTCCTGACAGAAAGGTTGGAAGTTCGACCCAAGGAGCGGGGTGCACTCCTGTCTGTCAGCTCCAGCTTCCCATGCGGGGACATGAGAGAAGCCTCCCACAGGATGGTAAAACATCCGGCCGTCCCCTAGGTAACATCCAACTGATTTATAGTTCATAACTTTGTCCAAAGTTACACTTGTGAGCTGATGATTTTCCTCCACCTGCTGTGCCAACAGAAAAACTCCAGCTGCTTCCACCTTTCTCTCTTTGTTTCTTTGCATGCTGGGAAAACCCTTTCCCTTGCAAATTCTTGTTTGCCCTGTACCAATAAAAATCTTTATGGGGAGGAAGACTGGAGATTTGCATCTAACCTTCTCCAACCTTGACGTGGACTGGAGTACAACACCCAAAATATCTGGTGACTGGGGGCTATATCCTTGTTGTTGTTTACATTTGTAGCCTACTTTTCCCTCTGGATCAAGACTCAAGTGGGTCATAGCCTTAAAAACTATACAATTTTGAAACCTATAAAATATAAATACACTAGACCAGCGTTTCTCAACCTGGGTGTCATGAGAGGGGTGTCAGAGGGGTTGCCAAAGACCATCAAAAAACATGGTATTTTCTGTTGGTTATGGGGGTTCTGTGTGGGAAGTTTGGCCCAGTTCTATCATTGGTGGGGTTCAGAATTCTCTTTGATTTTAAGTGAACTATAAATCCCAGCAACTACAACTCCCAAATGCCAAGGTCTGTTTTCTCCAACCACCACCAGTGTTCACATTTGAGCATATTGAGTATTTATGCCAAGTTTGGTCCAGATCCATCATTGTTTGAGTCCACAGTGCTCTCTGGATGTAGGTGAACTACAACTCCAAAACTCAAGTTCAATGCCCACCAATCTCTTCCAGTATTTTCCGTTGGTCATGGGAGTTCTATGTGCCAAGTTTGGTTCAATTCCAACATTGGTGGAGTTCAGAATGCTCCTTGATTGTGGGTTAACTACAAACCTCAGCAACTACAACTCCCAAGTGACAAAATCAATTGGTATGTGTGCCAAATTTGGTTCAGTGAATGAAAATACATTCTGCATATTCAGTATTTACATTATGATTCATAACAGTAGGAAAATTACAGTTATGAAGTAGCAAGGAAAATAATTTTATGGTTGGGGGTCACCACAACATGAGGAACTGTATTAAGGGGTAACGACATTAGGAAAGTTGAGAAACTTCACTAGACTCTTGAGCAAAACTTTCACCAAAATTGCATATTTCATCCACAAAACTGTTTTTATAATACAGTAAAATGGTAGTATGTTAAGTTACATTTGT